GTGATTGGTCCAAAGTCACCCAGTCGGATTTCATGCCTAAGGAGGGACTAGAACTCTCAGTCTCCCGGTGATTGGTCCAAAGTCACCCAGTCGGATTTCATGCCTAAAGCGGCACTAGAACTCACTGCCTCCTGGCGATTGGCCCAAAGTCACCCAGCTGGCTTTCATGTCTAAGGCGGGACTAGAACTCACTGTCTCCTAGCTTCTAGCTTAGTGCTTTCAACACTAGACCTCTGTCCTAACTGCTCTTGTAAATCTGTATCCGCTATTCATTTCTGACTTTTCTCAGAAAACTGTTGGGTGACTCACCAACCGAGGAGACACTTAGTACCTTTCAATATTCCGCTTGCTCCTTGGCGTACCACTGGTGTAAAAGAAGTTTAACATCCCAACACAGTCAGTCACAACACTGTATTATATTTCTCTTAAAAGGGTCATTTTATATTCCTCCTGGAAAGCTTAAGTTAACAAACAAGGAACTGGACAATTGAAGCAGCAGCTGATGTAAAGATTAGGCTGAATGTTTACTCAGCTCTGATTTATGTGCAGTTAGTTTCCTTCCCTGGACAAATCTATATTGCTCCAAGCAGAACATAAACAGAAAGTGAGCGAGCCAAAAAAAGAGACTTAACCATCAGTGCATCCAATGGATTTCCTTAATGCAACAAACATGCCACTCGTGACGTGCTGAAACAAGTAAACATTTCATTTTTAGCTTATTCTCGCTTGCTTCCATTAATTCTTTTTTTTTTTTTTCAAAAACGGGATGACCCTACCCATAACTCTTGGCAGGCTAAAAACCTGAAAAGGCCACAACTAGAACATAGGTGTACTTGTTCGCTCTACTTGAAGTTATTATTCTGTTATTCTGCTTGAGCAGGGGGATCGACTGGAAGACCTCCAAAGTCCCTTTCATTTTTCTTATTCTGTTATTATTAAAACAATTCCCCTTAAACAAAAAAGACAGAAGAAAAAGAGTGAGTTTTTTTTTTTTACACCTACGGAGAATGCATGGCTTCTCTCCTTCTCTGGA